AAATTAATTTGATCCATGTTATTATAGCATGGTCCAATAAGATGCACTTATAACAGTTTCTAACGTAATTTGGTTTGCATTCAGAGCTAGGCAAGGAGGAGGATGTCATATTCAGAGAGAGGCGTCGGAGGATTAAATGGGTGAGTAGTAGAAACAACCGATATGAGCAGAAATAACGAACATGAAAACTCCATCAACAATCACACATTAACAACTGACACTCAATATAGCAGAAAATATTGTTCGGGAAAAGATAATTGATAATATTCTCCCTATTCAATATTTGACGCAAATTTTTATTCGAACTGTGTAATACTGTGTTGTTATTACTATTGAAAATGTACATTAAGCTTATTTTTTATATTTCATGTACAAAGTCAGAAGACAATGTAAGGTAAGATTGAGATAGTGACTTAGAAGTACACACATCGATAGTAGCCATCATTTATATTGTACAGCAAACTTTTAAATTTAAAACTACAAGTTATCATAAACATTAGCATGAAGAAGACGTGGAAAGTGCATTTATTATATGACATTAGTAATAGCCTTCACAAACGTGTTTTATACGGTTTCATTGTCAGGCTAGGTATAGATGGATGGAAAGATCGATACTATGAATACAAGTTTGATGTGTCACCATCACATGAACCTGAATTTATAATAATTTGGTGAGTTTTTATTCTCGACAGTAAATAATTATTAAAATTTTAATTTTTTGTTTTTTCATTATTACATGAATTCAGTGGCTGTGTAGTAACTTGTAATTAATATTATTGCAGGATTACACGAATGTGTTAATACCAATTTGGTGAATTTAAATATACTAATTAATTCAATGCTCTATCCAGTATCAATCATCTTATAATGTTGCTATGCTTCATATTACAGGCCAACTCTTATGTAAAGGGTCTATGTTGGATATCAATGTATTATTATCATGGCTGTCCATCCTGGCAGTGGTTTTATCCATACCATTATGCTCCATTTGCTATGGACTTCATAAATATTACCAATCTACAAAATGACTTTGAAGTCGGCGAGCCAGTAAGACTTTTCTTGTTTTCTCATTGGATTGGTTGAGAAGTTAATTCCATGCAGCATACAACAGTCAAGTACCTATCAGTTCTGAAAACATAGGGTCTATGAATAAACTATCACTTGTTAAATATTTGTGTAAGAAATAGTAAATGTGATGCATGTAAATGTAATTCCAGTGACATTCTACAAACGTGGGCCGTATAATAATCATATTGTATTTGTTTACAGCTGAAACCGCTTGAACAGTTAATGGCTATATTAACACCGAGTAATGATCATTTGTTACCAACAACATGGAGACCTTTAATGACAGATGAACTTGGTGTGAGTTTATACAATATATGATATTCTTCAATTGTAATTTTTTTTTGCAATATACATGAAACCCATTAAATCCTGATTACATAAGTTATTCTTATTTTGCAGGATTCTCCTATTAGCGATTTCTATCCTGATGACTTTGAAACCGATTTGAATGGTGAGAAATATACAAGCCGAGGTACAAATACTTTTCATTTTAGCATAGGGCGTGACACCACGGAATGACAATCATAATTCATATTTATATGAAATGTAGTTCAAGACTATCAGTTAGTGCTATCCATCGCCATGGGAACATAATAGAAAAAAGGAGAGCACTAAGTGCCATGGTTAGATACAATTATTGTAATGCAGTCACAATATAGTCTGCAAAAAAATAACAATCGGCAGAACCGTATATTTTGGTCATTCTAATTGATGTGCATATAGACATGCTAATATGAACGGGGACAATTCATACGTGTTAACATTTCAGGTGTCGCTCGAATTCCTTTTGTGGATGAGACGAGACTGAAAGAAGCACTAGAGGGTCTACACCTGACAAGAGATGAAGGTAATGTTAAACAACGTTGAAAGATGTTTTGTCAGTGAAGCAGTTCATTAATTCTTCACGCAATAATCAATTAATATAACATTTGCTAAATGGAATATTTCCGAGCATATCATTCTACATAGTATGTTATAACAACTCTATATATGATTTCCCTGTTACAGAATGCAGAAATAGGTTTGGCCATAACGCTGTATTCTTGGATGCAACACACCCGGCGTATGTATTTTTTAAACAATTTGGCAACAACAACAAAGATGATGAGGTTTGTGCTCGAATACAATTGCTGTAAATAATCTACAGTATAATCTTCAAAATGATTCTTTTAACGTTTCTATTAAACAATGAATATATCCTATGAGCTATATTTTGCGGTCATTGTTTCTCATTTATATTGAATTACAAATAACACAACACAACACAGATATACACAAGAATTGTTTTTGTGTTTCTTGCAGTGTTGCTACGGGTCCGCGAATCGCATAACGTGACTAAACATAATTAATGCAGTCGTGAATAGATGAAATATTCCACTGTTTGGAATTACGTTCAGTCTTTTAGAATAGTAGCTAGTGTCACTGTGGCTATAGTATTCAAATTACAGTTCATATTACTGTATTTGATAGTGTTGCTCTGGGCGTGGTATCCCACAAGTGCCCTTAGTGTATTTGCTAATGTCGCTGTGGGCATGGTATTCGTATCACAGGTCACATTACTTTATATGCTAGTGTCACTGTGGA